CCACTTTACTGTATATAATGCATCTATATCTATATGCCATTAGAAGCTCAGAGCCATCCGGTGATTGTAGCGTAGGTGGGGGAGCAAAAAGCCTCGAAAATTGTCAAGCGCGCCGGCTTCAGTGATGCTGCGATTGTCACCAGAGTCGCATAGTCAGCCTAAAATTCGCAAAAATATTCTTTAATACTCGAATTTATGCTCTATTCATGTGAAAAATGCGCTTGATGCTCAGATGCCAAGTGTCGAGCTGGAATACATCAGAGATGATTCTACTGAGCTTAGGCGTGACTGAGGCGTGACAAGTTTGACTGCCGCGTGACTGCCGCGTCTGCCAAGACTGCTGGTACAGGTCACAGATTGTCACTTTTGTCACATCAGTCACCCTGTCCCAAGGAGTGGTAGCCGCTGTCTTGGACCACCTCCGTCTTGTGTCCTTCGCCTTGACTTCAGCTTTTGTCTTTTCGCCTTGCAGCTTTGCACTGAGGTATTTCATATGTTGTAGTAATATAATGCGATTTATTTAGTATTTATATGCGAGAGACATACGAAGGGGAAGCGAATATTGATCAGGTGTCCCAAGGAGTGGTCCTATACTGTATAGCCCAATCTATCGTTCTCGTCGTATTTCGGCGCCTAGAGCACTTTCCCGCTACCTCGACCTGAAACCCGCCGGCTTGGCCTCTGCGCCGCCTCCTATACCTCATCGACTCATCGGTCTCATCTACCTTCGCTATGGGCGCTTTGACATGCTCTGCTCCAGATCGTGTTGACTGCGAGCTGGTCGTGTCACCACGCTCACAGCTGTACTCTGCTTCACTGCATTAGGCCGGAAAAATCCTTACTACCATGCCCTCGGGCAGACGGATTTATGTCTGCCATTGCGGGATCTTTTGCAAGACACCAACCGAGGTTTCTCATACAACCTATGCAAACCACCAGAGGGCAGTCGAAGCAGTGTCCGGCACTGTTCTCCCCGCATTCCAGCCCACCTCTGCTGAACTACAAGCTGTGTATGCTCAGAGGTCTGCTGAAAATGCAGGCTTGGCAGCATCAAGCTCTCGGAAGCGCATGCTTGCCGGGCCCGAAGACATGTCCTCTGGCTCCGGCTCTGGGACTGGTAAGCGGAGGAAGGCCGCCAAAAGAGCTGTAGCGGAAGACCAAGAGATGCATATGCGTGCTCTAGATGGTGCTTGGGACAGTCCAGTACCCCAAGAAGGTGTATGGGCAGCCACGGCACATTCAACTGAGAACTTAGGCAGTGACGAAGAAGAGCACGAGAGTGACCATCTCCATGCAATCCTGATCAGGTATGCCCGCTATTTCTGTTGCAAATGTAGCACGGCATATCTGGTGACCAGCGCTACATTTTGGATACTTTCCACTAGAACAACTTCTGACTGGGACTGATAGCAGGACCGATATTAGCATCTTGTGCAATGTTCTACGCAGACGTCGCCTCGAGGCAGGCAAAAAAAATCGCACTCTAGTCACGGTAGCTTGATGTCCATGCAAGAGCTTGCAGCTAGTAAAATAGGATTAATCACCCCAGATAAGTTTAGGAGTGCAGCCTCATGAGGGAGATGCCCCAAGATTGCGTCAAAACTGCCTCATGAGGCAAATTTCATGTTGTGATGCACATCACAATGCCTCACGAGGCTTGTGAGAGAAAAAATCGCTATTAATGCGCCATGATTTTGGGAAAAAATTTGCAACGATTTTTCAGTAGGACTATGGCATCTGTGGCCTAGGCATAAAACTTTCTGTGATCGTTTGAGGATAAGGAAAGTACTAGGTGGATCCTGAACGTTGAGCAGTTGTCTGAGGATATTGGGCACTAGGTTATAGAGCATGTTGTCAAGGTTAGGAATGTTGTCTAACCTCTGAGGCACCACATAGGAATAGAACATAGGCTATCCAACCTCCAAACATTACAGATGTCGGAGATGTTGGGTACATTGGCTAATATCTGTAATGTAGGGTGTAGTTTGGCTGATGTGAATGCAAATGAAGCAAGCTTTCTCATCTCTGTGCACAGACCAAACTGAGTCGTGCTCATTGACTCACGGATTCTTGGATTCGGATGCAGCTGACAATGAAGAGGATTGTGGGGGGGCAAAGCTTGAGTGGGGCTTTGGGTG